CATCCTCATCCTCCATCTCCACAACACACACTACTTTCTCTTGACAGTCAATTTTGTCCGACAAACTACCATATACTCACATCTTCTTCTCGCACATTGAACCACGATGCCAAACATAGATCTCCAGGTCCTAAAGGAACCCAGCATGCCCCAGGGCGAAGCAGATGTTCTCGACACATTGGCCAAAGCATTAAACTCTAGCGATGATCCTGCAGTCGTCGCGGCCAACCTGGAAGACGAGCTACGACAGTTAACTGCCTCAAGCAAGTCAACAAAGGCTGCAGACACCCTGCTTTGGAATCTGTGGGTGATGCTGTTGGAGGTGGTGAGAATCGTGCCCATCGAACATCCATGGCACGCCGCGCTCGCCGCTGGCATGAACAACTTGCGCTCGAGAGGCGGGCTTGTGGTTGAACTCGAGGTGAGCGGAAACTTGTTCATTACCATCGCATCAGCAGGATATCTGACAGCTTTCTTTTCTATCTAGGATTACACGCTGAACTGGGCGGACCTGCCCGATCTGAGCATGTATGTCTTCGACAAGTGGTTTAACCCTACCGAGTTGGACGACTACACCTCGGAGGACGTAGACGCCTGGAAACGCTGGAACTCATTTGCGTCACAGCTCCTGAATGAAGAGTACATGAACTGGATTATTTTACCCTACTGGGAGATACGCTCGGCGCTGGAATTCCCCCGCCGGAGGACCCAACTATATTTGAGTGCAGACTTTGGGTAGCAACTCAGTGGCTGACCCAACGCGCCGAACTTGTGTACAGCGAGATGACTTGTGGGGTAGACTTGGAGGAGAAAACAAAGTCGGCAATCAAACCCGGCCCGCTGTGCGAGGGTGTCTACCCGCGCAGTCTGCAGCGGTGGGAGTTTTGGCGGGGAAGACTCGAAGCGCTGGCGGGAGAGAAGGGTCTGGAGTAGGAGACGGATTCGGGGGATGGCGGTGCAGGGCGGATCATCCCCAGTGCATCGTTATCCCGAATTCAACAGGCGATCAATGCTATGGACGCTTCGAGCAACAACGCCCGAGTCTAGTTAGACACGCTTCTTGTATTACTACTTCCTTTCCAATACTAGATGTTACACTGCAACCAGGTATCAAGATTCGCCCCTGTCTCTCCGCCTATAGAGCAACCAACCCCACAACCCCAACCACAACCCCCATACCCACCCCAACCAACCCTGTACACCTCGCCCCCAACCCCCCATTCGTAGAAGTAGGCCCCACCCCTCCCTGATTAACAACAACACTCCTCGTCACACTAACCGTCGGGTCGGTCCTCGTAACCGTCTCCGTCACAGGACAAGAAACCGTACAAGGCAAGAACTCCGTCCACGGCGTCGGCACCCCCGTCCCCGTCACCGTCTCCGTACCCACCACCCTGAAAGCGGGACTCTGCACCACAGCCTCTACATCCGGCCCCTTGGTCCCATTATTCCCCCCCTTCGGATTCAACACATTATCCACCAAATGCACCGCCCCATTCGCAACAAGAATATCAGCCTGCAAAACTTGCGCAGCATCAACAAATATAAAATTGCTGTGCCTCAGTACACGAATCGAGTGCTTATCCTCCGCGGTAACAAGACTAGACTCGTTCCGCAGTTCCCATATCTGAGACACCTGCCCGGGAACGATGTGATACCGGAGCACAGATTTAAGCTCGTCTTTCGACAGGGCAGGGAGCGTGCTCGCCAGTTTTTGAAAGGCAGCGTTGGTTGGGGCAAAGATTGTGACCTCTTTGGCCGGGAGGATGACCTCGTCGTAGAGACCGGTTGCAAAGAGGGCGCCGAGAAAGGAGGTCATGTCATGGTAGGCGTTGCGGGCTGTGGACTCGAGCCCTTCGGGGACGCGCATGACCGAGTCGGTTACCTGGATGAGGCCCTTGTCCCATTCAACGTCTTCCACGACGACGGTGCCGCGGTTGGCGAAGCCAGATGTCAAGACGACCTCCCCGCCGGGTTGCTTGGTCAGGATGATGCGTTGGCCGCCTTTCATGGGGGAGAATTTCGGGTCGGTCAGGAGCGTGGGTGCCCAGATCGAGTCGCCTTTGATGATGGAGGGCATAGAGACTATCGAGGTCATGACGTGGTATTTCAGGACGGCCTCGACGTGGGTTTTGTTTTCGCGCCATTCGTCATAGTTGCCGAGTTTGTCGAAGGCGTCGTCGTTGGGGGCGGCGATGGTGACGCCTGAGGGGAGGTTGACGAAGATGTCGGGGTGGTCCTGATGAGATTGATCAGTGGTGACATTTGAGGATGGAGAGCAAATGAAGGCACACCTTGACTAGCTCACGAAACGTGGTGAGATTTGTTTGTCCAGCGAGGGCACTGCCCAAGTCCGCTGCTCTGACGCCGGACACAGATCCCAAGACAGATATGATGGCGAGAAGGACGGTTGGAAGGCGTGATGCCAGCCGGAATGATGACAGTCCAAGGACCATCTTGTAAATAGATGCAACTAGCAATGAGAAAATACGTTAATTGTGAGTGTCACAAGAGGAAACAATAGCAGAAAGTCAATCGTCATCACCACACATGGATGATGTGGAGGAGTGAGTCCGGACTCCAACACGGAGGCGGACACGAGGTGGCATTTTAGCTGCCGCCATCTACGCCCTCCCCCAACGCCATCCATGCCACTTTACCCACACCAAATTCATGATGAAATTTGAGCTCTGCACATTTCGGGACACGCGCGACGTTGTCTTCGCTAGCGACCTTCCCCGCGATTGGGCGTTCCTGCTGGCGAGCCACGACCCTGGGGCAATCTGGACCCCTGTTTCCCGATGCACCGGTGCAGGCTGAGCCGCTCGATGGCAGGTGCTCATTGGTCTCGATCTGGGCCGTGTCAGCAACAATTCTTTCCGTCGGGGTGTCATGGCGACAACCTGGAAATTTATTGTTCTCAGGCATCGCTCAGCTTTGGAACGGAGGGTCGTACTTTAGCGTGGGAAGCCGCTGACCGACGTGGTTCCTCCCAGAACCTAAATTCGACACCATGATATCCACCAGCTGGGTCCGGGGATCGACCCGCTCATTTGGTCTTGGGATATCAAGACTGGGCAGGCGGGTTGGAATAAGAAGCACCAGGAGCTGGTCGACGGTGCATCTCTTTGGAAGGAAGGGCTCCAGAAGCATACACGGACCCTGGGTCTTCAGCTACCAATCTGTGCCTTGACTGCCCTGGTGAGACGACATGGCAGGATCTCATCAGCCATGCCGCCCAATTGCATGCAATGAGGCTTGGTTTAGCGTGAAGCATGTGCCACTGAGCAACCACCCAAAACGGACTTTGCTGGTGGGGTTGGCATCGGGCTGGCTACGAATAGTTAATGTTTAAAGAAAAAGAATTTCTCTGAATTGAGCGCAGAATTAAAGGTGAAGCATTACCATTTCAGATGTAATCTCTTTCCATTATTTGTCTGAGCTTTACCTTTTAACTTAAGGCTGGGACTGTTGAACAAACCAGATCCCTTGGTGATTCTAGAGTGGATGGCACTTAACTCTTCAATCTCACACTGACTAAATATTATATGCTAGAAATATATATGTGCATACCTCATGGGTGCAATAAAAAGCCTCGCGATAAATCAGGCACTGGAGGCTATGTGGCCGTGGACAAAGAATTAGTTACCGCAATATGGTGACAAGGTCACCCCAAATATGGTTATGAGGCATGACTGTTGAGTTCTTCCTCGAACAATAGTCAATTAGGCCTATTTTCCGGTTCGAAACATGCAAGTCAACAGTTATTACACGTTATGTGCCCATTATGTTGTCAGCGACAGACACCAATCCCTTGACGAAAACGCTCAATGCCATTAAACTCCCTATCCAACCCCACCCCTCAGCTCTCAGTCAAGTTATAAATCTTCTGAATATCCTTCAACATGCCCTCAAAATCAATCTGCAAATCCCTCAACAACCCATCATTAAACCCGAACACCCATCCATGCACAATCGGAAAGCTATTCTCGGCGTAACTTTGCTGCACCCCCGCCGTCTTGACCACATTCTTGCACTGTTCAATCACATTCAGCTCCACCAACCGGTTATACCTCTCCTCCTCGTTCGGAATCGCATCCAGCTCCTTCTCATGCAGCCTGTACACATCTCTGATATTTCTCAACCAAGGGTTCAAAATCCCCAGATCCTTGGCCGACATGGCAGCCTTTACACCGCCGCAGCCATAGTGCCCGCACACAACAATGTGCTTCACCTTCAAATGGCGGACGGCGTAGTTGATGACGGCCATGACGTTAAGATCGGTGTTGCAGACCAGGTTCGCGATGTTGCGGTGGACAAACGCGTCACCGGGTTCGAGGCCGGTGATTTGCTCGGCGGGAATGCGGGAATCGGAACATCCTATCCAGAGGTACTCTGGTGTTTGGCCGGCGGAGAGGTTGGCGAAGAAGTCGGGGTCGGCCTTCTTCTTCTCAGCGGCCCAGGCACGGTTGTGCTCGAACACACGGTCGTGGGTTTGGCGGAGGTAGCGGCTGATGTCCTTTTCGGCCATGGCGCGCCAGGTGGATTTGTCCGATGAGGGGTTGGCGTTGGGGAGTTTGGACTTTGGGTTTGATGATGATGACGAAGAGTGGGAGTCAGAGGAGCAATGACGCAGGAGGGAAGGGGTTGTGGCTGTTGGTGTGGGGAAGCGCAACGGTCCGGACCTGACAAGAGAAGAGAGAAAAGAGGAGGAAGGGGAGCTGGAACTGGAGATAAAAGCGCGTCGGATAGCGGCGGAGGTTGGATGCTGCAAGAGCGACGTGGTGACACGTGAGTTGAGCATGACCAAGGTTTCTGAGCGGGTTGTCCGGTGTTTTTTTTTTTTTTTTTTCCTCTGGTCTTCCCCTCTTTCCGTCCTTTCTCCCCTCACTTGTCCGGCGGCCGATGGAATGTTGAGCGAGACTAAAAATGCGGTGTGGGTGGGCTCCGTCAGCCTCTAATTCTCATTTTTTTGGGGCTGGGAATTGGTCCCATTCTGTGACGTAGGGAAGCGGAGTTGTGCATCTCTTCATGCAGATGAGAGAAATGTTGTGATGTTTTTGATAGTAGCCCTAACCCTGTTTGCGATTCCGGCGGAGTGGGGGCGTGGAGATCGGATATTGAAGGGATCGACGATCTCGAGCTTGGCGGGAGCTGCAATTCCCTCAACATTTTTGGTCAAGAAGATGGCATTTGTCCATGAATTTGCAAGGTCTTTGGGACATTTTGATCCGAAATCGCGTGTCTCAGCACCTTGGCATTAGTTGACTTGTGCGAACGTAGTGCACTCGACCTGCCAGAACGGGCTTTTTCGGCTGTCAGAATGGATCTGCCAGTGTTGCTAGGCCCGGCAATTGGCGAGTTCTCCCCGCAACCCAGTCCGACCTTGTTTCAACGTCGGTGATAGAAACTTTGTTCACCCGCCGTGCCAAATCCAAGATTACTTGTTAGGCCTTGAAAATCGGCACTTGGACCAGGCTGCCACCTAGTCAGGTTCCTTAATTCGCAAATTCCGGTTGATTCCCAAAGAGTGATTTTTGGCCGCTAACCCTAACCCGGATTTAACGCACGTACCACATTTGCAGCTAAAAGGACATTTCACGAATCAACCAGAATTTACGAATCAAGGAACCGAACCATAGTAGAAGCCATGGTCAGTGCCGATTTTAAAGGCCTAACAAGTAGACAGCTCGAAGCCAGATATTTTATAATGGTTTTCTTGAAATCACAAAGTTGATAAACCTCTGCTTGTTTACCTATCTATTCCCATTGAATTAGGTAATTGCGGGGGAGAATTCAAGCGGTCTCTTCAGTTTATTATCGGATAGCCAAAAGCCTGCTCCGTCACGTTTACCCGAAGCATTACGACAGCCTTTTGCTAGACACGGAAAGGTGATAGAGCTTTGTTAACATGAAGCATGGATTGAAACCGAAAAACTATTTGTTATATAAAGTGCTCTTGATAACGGACCATTACCCTCTCTGTCACTCCCTGAAAGCAAGAAAGCAGACGCTCATTATACTGTCCATCTGTCTCCCATGACAGGGCATGGAACCCACCCGATCGATCCTGATTAACCAGAACGCCTAGGGTTTCTTCTCTCTCTTTCCGCTCTCGCCCTTCCCCTTCTCCTCCTTTTTATCCTTCTCCGGCTTTTGGCTTGTCGAGGTTAAGCTAGCAGGAATGGCTAATCGGGCAGTGATGGTGAGAGCCTCGTTCAAGTAAGAGTCCAGCAAAGTGCCTGGCCATCAGTCTTGAGGTCCAGTTCAGGATCAGACATACACTCTCCCTCCGCACAGGGATTCAGCCCGGGACCAATTGAAAGTGCCCCAGATCATACTAAACAAAATGGCGGCATTTGTGACCATAATGATTTACATTCTAAGTGTTAGTGTGGGGGTGCTTGTAATACATAAACGAGGGGTGTATCTTGCATCTTCTCATTATCTTAAGGGCATTGATTTCGGGGGAATATGCTCACATACGTTAGGATTAGGTGTGGATGGATTGGTTTTACTGCGGCAACGTTTGCTAGTCCGAGAATGCTCTATTCTACAAGGTTCCCGGTGTGTTAAATTCCCAGAGCAAGCTTTCCCATAGGGATGTAGTTTCAATTAGGATTGATTTACGTGAAGCAGTCAACTGTTCGTGGTTCTACGATTTGACCTGTGTCTTTGATTTTCTTGAAGCGAATTGATGTAGCGAACGCATCGTGATTCGCAGCTTTTCTGTAGGCCCGGCAACTAACAATACAGTTTCAGCCAAGGTAGGTAAGTGATTGTATACATGAAAAGAAGCCAGGAGCCTTGGAAGGTTCCATTATTAAGTCATCTATTGAAAGTCTCCCGTTGTGCGACTGGGGATTTGTCAATGGCATTGGAGTTGGCAACCTCGATCAATCACCCCAAGGGCTGTTGGCTATGATGTGGAGGCTGATAGGTAAGTCACCTACAGGATCAGCTGTTGTTGAGATTGAGTCGACGGTATAACTCATGCGGCTATATTTAGAGCAGGATCCATATTACAGAAAAACGAGTGCAATGTCACAGCCTCTTTGCATTGGATGGAAATTGCGCTCAACAAAACCCGACAAGGCTCTAGCTATCACATGATTGGTCGTCATGTTGGGAGAATGGATTGAGCTTCCAAGCGACTTGTCAGCCCCATGGTGCAATGTAGACTCAAGTGATTAGCTCCGGGTCCCAAAGCCTCGAAACATCGAGTTAAGCGCCTGCCTAAGACACAGACAATAAGTATTACGTCTAGGGCCTCGAGTTCATAATCTGACGAAATTCAGAGGTAGTACTAGGATACAATTGTTATTCAGGGGTATTGAGGGGCATTATGTATACCGTACCGGGTGTGGGCCAGGGCAATTAGACTTTGCCTATCAACTAGATATATTTAAGTCAACAGAGCCTGCAATAAAAACAGAGTCTACAGGACAGGCCCACTTTCTGACCAAAAGCTACAGTGGCCAGCCCAGTGGTCTTCCACTGAACCGGCCTCTATTGGATTCCACTGGTGACTGGGCCCAGTGGGTGAGCTAGTGGGTGAGCTAGTGGGTGAGTCAGTGGGTGGTGGTGGGTGGTGGTGGTGGGTGTGAACCGTGGAAGCGCTGCAAAAGAAGAAGGTTAATGGGTGCGCACCTGGGATCGGACGCAGGGCCTATTAAACAGTGGAAGACTTATTGGGTTGTTGGACGGCCGCGAGGATTTGCTAATGTTGATGGTATTGTTAAGTACTCGAACAAACAACTCCGGAGAGCAAAACGCCAAAGCCCTGGAGCAACCTGACTGCCAATCCCACAGGAGTATTGCTCCCACATGGGTGGACGGCAGGGTCGTCCATTGAGCCACTGAAGCAGTAGCTAATTGAACGAGCCAGGCGCGAGAAATAGGGACCGTATAGGGGGGTGTACGGCAGGTGCCTCCTATATCTTCAGTGACGATATGTGGGCCTGCCCTGTAGACTTTGTTGGCCTCCTGCAGACTCTGTTGGCCCACTGCAGATTCTATTTGACAAGTCAAATTCCCACTATGGTACCTTCAACCATCACTCTCCTCATTGTATGTCCTAGGTATCTCAACAGCCAGGTCTCATAGCTACATTGTGTCCTGCATTGTTTAATAGGTCTAATATAGGTACCCTGCTACTTCTACCAATTTTACCGGACTACTTATACCTCGCGAAATCCAATGGTCGTGCATCTACACATGTTCCCTACCTACACAAGGAGACAGGTCACCTCATGTAACGAACTAAACTCGATCCAAATGCTGAAGAAGATTGTCAGGACAAACTTCTCAATATACCTATCGCCTATATCGATTTAACCTTTTACCACGCGGACCTCAACCCATCAATCGCAAGACGTTACATTCCCTCGGAGCTAGGCTACGGGCGGATGAAGAGGTCATTAATTGACTTTATCCGGATCCGACCAAGTTGTATTGGTGCGGCTGCAATATGCTATCGACCAAGGCTTTTCGACTCCATAGTCACTCAGATCTTGTAATTATCCGGTCGCCCAGGCCATGAAATATGGAACCCTGTTTGATGAAGAACTCTTGTCTGTATCACCCATCAAGGGGTTCTTGAGTCGCCACATATCTCCGAATTCCCAGGTAAAGGCTTGCTTTTGGGTATATTAGGGCAAAGTCTCCCTCCGGGTAACCGCCATGCTTTCCGGTGCACCTCCATCTTCCGCGCTATCAGTCGCTTTGCCATACAGCCAACGAAGACGGACAAGATGAGATTCCTTCCTTCTGTTGCCCTCGCCCTTGGTGGGTTTGTCACCGCCAATCCGGTGCCCGTTGACCATGAGGCTGTGGAGTATGTACCAGTCTCGCTGCCCCTGACATGCAGAGAGAACCTAACATCCGCTGCCACAGGCTCTTCCACCGTCAAGTACGGACCCTCAACCAGGCCATGATTGCCGCCGGCCGCGAGTACATCGGTACCTCCCTCACGGTCCGCAACGACAACTCAGAGCAGAACATCATCCGCAGCGAGTTCGGCTCCATTACGCCGGAGAACGCCCAGAAGTGGGATGCCACCGAGCCTAACCGCGGGCAGTTCAATTGGGGCGCCGCCGATCAGCACATGAACTGGGCACGCCAGAATGGCAAGCACGTTCGCTGCCATACTCTTGTCTGGTACTCTCAGCTCCCTGGTTGGGTGTCCAACAGCCGCTTCAACAACGCCACCTTGATCCAGGTCATGACCAACCACATCAACCAGGTCATGGGACGGTACCGTGGGCAGTGCAACCACTGGGATGTCGTCAACGAAGGTAGATGTCTTGAGAAATTTTAAAAGCCAGTGACGGTGCTGACATCTTTGAAGCTCTCAACGAGGACGGCACATACCGCGACAACGTCTTCCTCCGCACCATCGGTGAAGCATACATCCCCATGGCCTTCCGCATTGCCGCTGCCGCCGATCCTTCCGCCAAGCTGTACTACAACGACTACAACCTCGAGTACCTGGGACCCAAGGTCGAAGGTGCCGCTCGTATCGTGAGACTCTGCTACAACCTCGAGTACCTGGGACCCAAGGTCGAAGGTGCCGCTCGTATCGTGAGACTCTGCCAGCAATACGGAGTCAGAATCGACGGTGTTGGTTACCAAGGCCACTTGGTCACCGAGAGCACCCCAACCCAATCCACCCCCACCCCCTCTGAGGCGGACCTTACTGCCGCCTTGAAGATCACCGCCGACCTTGGTGTTGACGTTGCCTACACTGAGATCGATATCCGCATGAGGACACCATCCAATGCTCAGAAGCTGCAGGCTTTGGCTGATGCTTATGGCCGTGTTGCCCGGTCGTGCATGAATGTCCCCCGCTGCGTTGGCATGACCATTTGGGTACGTCCGCTTGATATGACAAGTCTGGTTTTACAGTTGCTAACAGTGAGAAATAGGGCGTCAGTGACAGGTACTCGTGGGTTCCCCAGACTTTCCAGGGTGAAGGTGACGCGCTTCTTTGGAACAACAACTATCAAAAGAAGGCGGCGTACGACTCTTTCCTGCGGGGTATTTCTGGGCAGTAAATTCGACCTTGGTTGAAAGGATTCTTGTATATAGCACCGAAGAACGGCCAGCCCGAGTCCTAGAATGGCAAACCCACACATCCCGTTGGCGTTCACTATCCATCCGACGACGCACTCGCTGCTGCTTTATAGTATGTTCAACACGTTGCTGGCCGCTTATTTCCGCAAGTTTAGGCATGTTGAAGCAGAGAGTTCGGGATAGACAGGCTACGCCGTCGCAATTCCGCCGGGCAGGAACAACTGGTTCGAGTGGATTAGGTTCCTGGATCTTGTTCTCTCTCCAAGAAAATGGTTAACGTGCATGATAAGCGAGCGACGCAGATAAGCGAGCGACGCACTCTCCACCACCTTACTATAACTATCCTCAATTGCTAGACCACAACATTAAGAACCAACTACAATTACGTCAGAAACAGCTGAATCAGACCCTTCTGCAGCCTCCTGGCAAGTGCGGGCATTATGGCCAGGCTTGCCGCACACACCACAGCACTGAACCTTCGTACGAGCCCCCCCTGCACTACCGCCATCCGGCTATATTTCTTCCACTACCTCCCCACCCACGGCCTTCTAGTCCAGTAGATCCTATGCATCTTGCACAGTAAGTAATCCTCCGAGCCGTACACGTGTTTTTTTAGCTTTCCGGCGCTTATTTAGTGCTTTATTAGTTTTACGGAGCGAAGCGTTCTTTGACTGAAAGAGGGCTACCTGGTGTATTACAGTTATCGTACCCTTAGTAAGCTAGTTTATAGTAATTAATATCGAGGCCGGGAAACTATTTTAATAATTAATAATACGAATTTTAATAAACGTTAATTATAAATTAGTTTTTCGGAGGTTTTATAGTATTTAAAATATTTATAGTAATATTATACCCGGCTTTAAAGATAAGGGTATTAATATATAAAACTTTATATTTAATTTAAAAAATATTTTTTTTAAATTATATAGTATAAAGTTAATACTTATAAAGCTATTTTATATAATTTTTTTTTATAAATGTAAAAAAAGTTTCGCGGAAAGTATAAAGAAATTTAAATTTACTTACGTAATTAATATATATACGTAGTAAGCCCTCGATCTAGCGGCCGTACGTTTATTTTAATAGCCTAAAGTAATTAATATTGAATTACTAAAGGAAGTAAAAGAAATATAAAGGTATATAAAATAAAATAATATTATTTTATTAATAATAACGTTCGAATTTAATTAAATAATAATTTTTATAATTATCGAAAATTAATAACCGGTATTTACTTTTTATATAAAACGCTATATAATAATTAAAGTACTTAATTTAATTTAAATTTATTAAATTAATAATTTAATTATTATTAATAATTATAATACGTTAAATAAATAATAAATTATATTCGGTATATTAATTAATAAAATAATATTATATAATTAAAATAATAAAAAATAAAATAGTTTAGCCGAAAGTATTAATTCTTTAAATTATTATTATTTATTTACGGTTATTAAATTAAATTAATTTTACTTTATTAAAGCCGTCCGAGGTTATAATTATTATACTTATGAAAATAATATTTATTATAAATTTAATTTCGTTAAAATTATAAATATTATTATTTATAATACTATATTTAATTTTAATATTCTATATAAATATAAATTATTTAGTAATAACCTTTAAATTTTTATATTTAGCCCTTTAATAATTATATTTATACGTAAAACGCGTATAAAATTATAATTAACGTTTAACAAAATTATAAACTTAACGTTTCCTAATAAAAAGCGTATTACATACGCGTAATAATTAATTAACTATATTTTCCACACTACTTAATTTAGGTAGGAATATACGTATAAATAGTTTAAAAATATACTAAACTATTATCTTTTCCTTTAGATCCGTTAAATTATATAAGTTAATTAAAATATTATATCGCATTAGTCGGCCATTACGCCTATAGCGGAAGGTTGCTTCTGGGACGTTATATAACTTAGCTGCAGTACGGATACTAAGATCCTCCTATTTTAAATAGCTTCGAGGGCAAGAAGAAGTCTAGCTTCTTTTAAAGGGCCGTCCATGGTTGTTGGTGGTAAATTGTAGTAGAAGATATTTAAGAGACGTGTTGTGGTGGAGAGTGCGTCGCTCGCTTATCTGCGTCGCTCGCTTATCATGCACATTAGTAATCAAGGAGTTGAGTGTCTTCTCCACATCGTCGACCGTCAATAGCATGGCTGTGACCCTGATGACGTTCCAAAACACTTCGCACAGAGATGAATTGCAATCGCAAGTAATGTCCTGCCTCTCCTCGGGCATGATCAATCCAAGAAGCGCAAAGATGCTGTCCCGAGGGTCAGCGAGCTCGAATCTTTCGCCGCGTCCATCCAGAATATCAAAGGCCATTGCAGCCCAACCGAAAACGCTTGTCTCCCTGCTAACAAGTTCATCCTCAGCGCCAACAAACCCCACAGCTCAGGTTGGACGATCTGGGCTCCTGATATTCGGTCGAGCCATTCCAGATATGAACTCACAAAATGTCTGGAGCATATCTTCGTCTAGAAACTCATGCCCACACAGGAACAAAAGATTTTTCGACACGATAAACTCTTGCAATATCCACATGTGCTGCCACCAAGCTCTGCTGAAGAATGACTGGATGGCCAGGGGTGAGTGCTTGACCTCGGGGACTATGACCTTGCGTATATCTCGCAACAACTTATCGCTCCCATCCGCCGAGGGGCCCATCCAGGCGACTATCCAAGCGGCGTTGGAGAAGACATCGCGCATGTTGGCAACTTGCGCGGACTTTTCGACCGCATCCTGCTGATTGATACACAACGCGTCGATCCAGATTTCAGAATAGGCTAAGACGGGTAGCCAAGTCTCCCCGTGCCGTGGGAAGGTGTGTCAGAGCCTCATAGAGACTCTCCGTGATGAGAGCTGGCTTCCCGTTGACAATGAGAGATCTCGACAATTATCTCTCTTCGTGCGACAGAGTCTCCTCATGTATATGACAGAGCAACGTATTTCCCTTGACAATCGCCCATGGACCGCTCCGTCAGCGTGCATTCAATTTTGGGACTGGCTATGTCGCACGGGGACTGGAATTTGAGCAGTCGAATAGATTGTTCAAGTCTGAGAGGCTTGTATGATACTCCGCAGTTGATCGAGGATACAGCTGGTCCAGCCCACGGTTGTGGGTGTTCCAAGTGCGATCCTGGGGCCACGCCCTTGACCGCGTTGCTATCGTCCATTGGAAATCTCGTCTTGGGCAGGATTCGCCGTTGATCTGAACAATGAGCGCGGCGAGCAATCACCGGAAATAGTGGTCTGACTCGAGATTGTGGATAGAACTAGGTGCCATCGACGTATTCGTAAGTCTGAGTAGCCCCGCATGATGGAAGAGAAAAGAGCTGACAGGCTTCAGCAACGCTTCTGCCTGCCGGCAGCACAATCCTCGGCTCGGACTATTCTCTGCCCGAAAACGCAGAAGTGCGAGCACCCAATAAGACCTCGTTTTTTTGGATAGTTTCATGCATACTACAGCACTCAGGTCTAGCGCAGGCATTCCAGTTCCATGGGTGTGGCTCTAGACTATTGATTTAGACGACAGCCCCCAATGATGACATTTATTTCCGGAGCTAAAATGTCAACAATCGCGAGCATAAATAACATTATGCCGTTTCCCAAAGTCAACATCCTACTTTTTACCCATCATCTTACCCACCGACAATGAAACTCCTCCTCGCCACCCTCGCCCTCTGGGCATGCTCAGCCCTCACCCAAACACCACCCCCCAACCCCCCCATCCGCAACATCTACACCTTCCCCCCCAACCACTTTATCGAAAACATCGCCGTCCGCTCCAACTCCCGCCTGCTCCTCACCTCCATGAGCGTGCCCCATTTATACTCCATCAACCCCCTCATCCCCAACCCCGCAGCCGACATCATCCACAGCTTCGCCAACCCCAACAACGCAACCGGCATCTCGGGGATAGCCGAGATCGCCCCGGACGTCTTTGCTGTCATCGTCGCAGATTGGGACCTCTTCGCTACCCGTGCCATCCCTGGAACGCTGGCAGTCTGGACAGTCAACTTCAACAAAGCCCCCAGTCAACGCGTCAAGTTCATCACTCAAGTCGCCAACACAACTATCTTTAATGGAATTGCTCGTCACCCTACCAATCCCACCTTGTTGCTCGCTGCGGACTCTGCCTTGGGAGCAGTGTGGAAAGTTAACCTTTTGACAGGTGCCCACAGCGTGGCGTTTTCGTCACCTCTTCTCACACCTACTGCCACTGCTCATTTGGGAATTAACGGTCTTAAAGCCCAGGGGCAATACCTCTACTTTACCAACTCCGCTCAGGGGTATTTGGGCAGGGTCAAGATCGGCTGGAACGGCGAGCAAGTTGGGGCCATTGAGGTTCTGTCTAGTGCTTCTGATGCGGGGGCTGATGTGGTGTATGATGATATCGCGCTTGATTTGGGACATGGTGGTAGTGGGAAGGTTTGGATTGCTTCTCATCCCGACTATGCTGTTGGTGTTACGCTCCCAGAGGGGTCGCAGTGGGTTGTGAAGAATGCGACGAAACTGTTGAACCCGACCGCGTGTGCTTTTGGGAGGGGGAGTGCAAAGGAGAGGACGACGCTTTATGTGACGAATGGGGGGGAGTTTTTGCCTGACTTTACGCTGGTGAATGAGGGGGTTGTTGCGCTGGATTTGTGAGTCAGTGCAATACAGATATCTAGACCAGAAAAAAGCCATGCGTAAAAGAAACCTGTCTATCAACCACTCTACCACATACTGGCCAAACAATCTCCCTCAACTCAAGCACCATTCCCGTTATAAGCCAACAAGTTAACACTCCCCCTTCCCGCCTCCTTCACCACCCCCTTAGTCCCCAACTCCCTAACCTTATCCACCACCGCCCCCACCAACCCCCCCTGACCTCCCCCCTCCAAACTCCTGAGATACAACACCAACCCCGCAACATGCGGACTAGCCATGCTAGTCCCCTCCACCTCAAGATAATCACCATCATCCCAATTCCACGCGCTTCTCACCATCACCCCCGGAGCCCAGATATCCACCCCCGGCCCCCAGTTGCTAAAGCTAGGCCTGACATTCTCCACATCCACCGCACCCACCGCCAACGCCTCAGGAGCTGAGGCCGGACTGCCCCACCCATTGTCAGAGGAACGGCCGTCGTTCCCTGCGGCGACGACGGTGAGAATACCAGCGGAGTATGCCGCTGCAATGGCGGAGTCGACGGCGTCGGATTGGGGACCGCCGAGGGAGAGGTTGATGACTGATTTGGCGGGGGTGGTGATGTTGTTTACTGCCCAGAGGTAGCCGTCGAGGACGATGGAGGTTGTCGACTGTGTGAGGTGGTGGTGTTAGCAAAGGTGGGGTAGGAAAAGGGGGAAAAGGGGTAAAAGGGGGTGTTAACAAGGTCACCGCACTCCAAAAGAGGGCGTGAGAGAGCGTCACAACAAACCGGGCACCCTTGCAAAGAAAGAAAGAAATAACTTACAGAACCCCAATCAAAAACCTTCACCGCCACCACCCTCGCCTTCTTCGCAACCCCGTACGTCTTCCCAGCAATCGTCCCACTGACATGCGTTCCATGTCCAATATTGTCCTCATCGCTGTCCGCGTCAGGGTAGGCGTTATACCCAAAGATTGCCCTACCCCCCTCAAACTCATTGTGGGTGGTGCGGATGCCGGTGTCGACGACATAGGCGGTGTACCCGTCCCCGGCATCGCCACGGCTGTCGTAGATGTAATCTGTCGAGTTGGGGGCTCGGTGGGAGATACTACCCAGCCCCCAGGGGGCGTCTTTCTGGGTGGTGAGGCCTGTTTGGCGAGGGCGGGGTTGGGAGGGGAGGTGGTAGGTTAGGTGGAAGGTTTGGTCTTGTTCTACGGAGGAGACCTGGGTGGGGGTTAGTACTATGAGAAGGTAACGGGGGTGAGAAGGTGGTGGTATGTGTTGGAAGAATGTGGATATGTGTTAAGAAACACTGACATCAGGGTTGGCCCTGATCTGAGCTATGGTCTCCTCGTCAAAGGACCCAGCATAGCCATGGAAATCAAGGGCAGAGTAGACCTTCTCAATTCCAGATTCGTCACGGCGCGAGAGGCTCCGAGTATGCACGTCTCTCACCCAAGACAGGTGGGTCTCCAAAGAAGGTGCCACTCCCGGCCTGAGGGTGATAATATATTTTCCGGGAATGGGCACTGGTGCGTTGTCCCGCTTGGCTACCGGTAGGGCTAGGGCGATGCCCACGCATAGAAGGAGGTAGGTGATTTTGACCATGTTGTAAGATTTGTATCGCAAGTAGCTGCGCAAGATGATGTTGATGACTTCAAAACACAAAGAATGAGTGAGAAATCAGGGGCTTTTATACTTGCAAAGCTCCTTATTTCGCAGCGGTGTCGGCATGCACTCCCAAGCTCGCTGGCCTAAGCAAATGAGATCAACCATCAGTCTTCCCACCATCATCGTTAGCATCACGTATCTCTCTTGCTTCTTCTTGTCCGGTCTGCCTTGCCGAGACTGTAAGGTATCTAACCACCCTGCAGTAGCAGCCACTGCACACCCTCTTCCTTTTCGTTCTCCTCAACTTCCCTTTCAGACGCAAGCTCACATAATTCCTGCCTGAGCACGACATAGAGTCGGTATCTTGCAAGCGAATGTAGATGTTTGAAGATAAGAGCTGCAAGACGAACAGGAAGGAGGTCGTGACACCTTGGGGGGTGGCCATGGAAGCACGTGAAAAATCCCCGACATGCTGAATGGTGGGTGGTAAGGTTGGCCCATGCAGCCTTGATACAAGCCACAGGTCGGTGTGAGAGAAACGTCGCACGAACCAGTCGTGTTAGACCCTTGGATTACTCTTCATGTGCATGGAAGAACTCCGGTGCAGAGTGGACGACAGTGGCTTGGCCATTACGTTAGGTTGGACGTCTTCTCCTTAAATGCTTATGTTCTAGGTCAATAGAAATCATCTTTATTTCCCGGCGTAGGATGTTCGAGTCAACATTGTCCGTCTGATAGCAAACCCATTGTAGAGGGCTATCTTCCCTCTCAATGTACAACCTTCCGGCAGGCAGACGATTGCCTGAGTCCAAGCAAAAAGGTAATGAACCCAATTAAAAATCCCACCCTCCCTCACCCTCCAATCCTGGGAACAAGTGAGATCAGATGGCCCCTAAATCACCCAAACCCGGCAGATCGCATCCCAGCATCCGGGTAGGAAGAGTCGTTGACTAATTCATTCGCCTCAAGACCAGTCGGAACATGCCCGGCTTTGCTGGTGACCGGGAAAGAGCGAGCTTGTGGATATTAACCGTGTGTCTGTTAATATCCCCACAGATGAAATGCAATATCGAGTTGCCATTGCTGTTGGCTTGTCGAGTGTCACGTCACAGCGCGGTGGCAGATACGGTAGTATTGTTGTCAGCATACGCCAACGTGAGGAAGAATCCTTCTGGTTCCAGGGCTTAGTTGCTTGGATTCATGGCGAAGGTTCGCATATGACTTGGGAAGAATGGTGGGCGAGTTATATCGCTTATCTTTGTGAGAAATGAAATCTTTTGCGAAAGGGGGGAGGGGGGTTCGACAAAGTTGGACAGTGAAGTGATAGAGTCATGATGACATCTGTGCTGGTTGGTGGCCGTGTAGGTTGACTGACGCCTCCAAGTCCCAGGCAAATGACGGCCCCAAGCGAAACTCAAACGAAGTCTTATCTCTCCCCTGCCGCCGCGGAACTATCCCACGCTTCCACGCGACGCGTCACGAGGCCACAGACGTCGATTAATATCAAGCCGGACAATATATCCCGTTCAGAAAGGTGCCGGATGCCGCCGCGATAAGAATAGAAACCGCAACAGTTCCTACAACCGCATGCGACCTTCCTTGCCGGTTTCCACGGGCGGGTAAGGGGAGCGGGAGAAGACCACGTGGGATGGATAGGTGACATGGCCCGGTTGGGACCTATACAGCGGGTAAAATCTCTCGGTGAGGATAGGCGAAATGTTTGGCATGATAGGCGAGCTGCAAGAGATCGACCTCAACTATAAGACTCGGGCATCTTGCGAAATGCCATACGAAGGCAAGTATCCGGAACGAAGAGGACTATTCAGCGCTCGGCCCGTTTGGCTGTGTCACGGCATGCTGTAATAAATCGAGGCAAGAGATACGAGAAAGTTTGCGACGTGGACGATTGCTCGTGGTAGCGAAGATATCGGTGAGGGTGAAGGTGAGGCGTAGTTCTCTTCGTACCTGAACAGCGAGATGCGGTCTCAGTCTACCTCGTGTGAGACACTCATGTCAGAACATTCGTCAGTATCACAACCAATGACAACACGCGAATACCGTATCACCTTCCAGAAAAGTCCCTCCAATGATATGGATCTCCCAGGCGGCTGCCCGTTCTGTCTTTTCTGCGTCTTTCGGTAGCATCCGACCCGACAACTGAATCGTGATTGGTATCATTTACATGCAACTTCAACTACACCACCAAATCCAACAACACCCCGTACTCATCCTCATTCTCCCTCCTGACCTCCACCGTCCCATGCGTCTTTGTCTTCACCGACATCGTGTTCCCCTTAAACCACACCAAAACACTCTTCTTGGCATCATTGCCAGAGATCTTGTACATCGGCCCTTCGGCATGAACGTTTTTCTCAGGCATAAACTGCAAATCATTCTCCTGGCACCACTCCTCCATGACCTGTCTGAACGAAACCTCCCTTGGCGGCTCCCCAACAGGCGTTTCCACCAGTGGTTCAGGTTTCCTTGTCTTATGCTCCCTATCCCGCCTTTCACTCCTGAGAGCAGGGCCCTTCTCTGGTGGCTTGAGCTCATCCTTCGCCCTATCGCCCAAATCAAGCGCCTTCTCAATGAGACCAGTACCCTTCTCAAACTCCGCCGTGATGGATGGTAACACTCTAATCTCCTCGGGGAAAACCTCCCCCTGCCACCACTCAAACCACTGACCAATCTCATCATAGTTGGCATCTTCCAGCAAAAGCCATTGGTAAAGCGCCTCATGCCACATGGGGAACACCTCCGCCACCAGCACCTCCCCAATCATAGTCGGACTCACAAACTCCAACCACTCAAACGCCCTATCCAACACCTTCATGTACGGCTCTTGGTCTCGCGGATCAACCTTGAAGCTCTTCCCAAGATACCTCGCCAAACCAGGCAAAAGGTGGTTCATCACCAGCGGGCCCCACTGGTCGCTCTTACTACTGCTTCCACGCAGCACTTGTTTCCAGGGTTTCAAGCCGGGAATGACACCCCTCTTGAACTCCCACGAGTCAATGAGCTGTCTGAACTTGCGCTTGACATCTGCCACCAGACCAGACGAGCTTCTTGGGTCGAGATGGACCGAAGGCAAATACGGCAGCCAGGGAAAGATCCAAGTGTGAGGGAGGTGCTCGCTGTGTCGTTTTGGTTGCCACTTCTGAACAGCCTCCTCCAGCTTGCGAATGATATCTTGTAGAAGCTGAGTGCGGACAAAGCCAGGCAGGAGGCCATCCCAAGCTTCTAGCACAGCAATGAGCTGGTCTGGTTCCCGGACGTTCCATTCGCGGACTGCGCTGGTGACGGTTCGGTACCACAACTCGTACATCATTGTTTCGTAGGGGTTGGCGGTCGGTCGGCGGTACGTCTTTTTGGTTTGTTGGTCGAGACCGAGCAAGCCTCGGATAGACTTGAGACCGTCGACGAAGCTTGGTTTAGGTTCCTCGAGAGGCTCCCAGAGCTGGCGGTATTGATTGAAGTCTGGGTGGATGGCAGCGACGACGAGGGATGTGAGCTCTTCCTTGATCTGAGGTAACATCTGGTCGGACAGAGACGAGTAAGTATCACTGAGCCCTGAAATGATGCGACCCAGTCGATAGTTGAGATCAGCCTTGCGGTCAATCTCGCCGCTCTCGGTTGGGTTGGACGCTGCAGCGCAGGCACTGGTGAGTGATTGATTGCCTTGCAACGTTGTGGCCAGCTCTTCCATCTCTTGCCTTTCTTGTTTCAACTGCAGCTCAATGTATGCCTTGCGCTCTTGTAAGCTCTGCCATTCCTCAAGCATAGCCATGAAGTCGTTTTGGGCACGGCGGACGAGCTTCCGGGATTCGGCCGTTTCAGCAGACTCAACAGGCGCAGTACCACCAGTGGGGGTCATCAAGCCTGACGAGGTGGTCAGCATCTTTTTGCCGGGACCGGTCAGATCCAAGATAGGGGTAAACGCGTCGGGAATATTGAGGCCGGGGGCGGCCTTCTTGATCTCATCCATTGTCAGGTACTTTGGCTTCTGGCGTTTGGGCGTGCTTGCGCCACTACCTGTACCACTGCCCAGTCCACCAGACAGAGCCTTCTTCCTGCGCGCGGCCTTCTTTTTCTTTTCCTCCTCTTCCGAGTCAATAACCTCCTCGCCCCTGAGACGTGCTTGTCGTTTCTCTTCTTGCCTTTCCTGTTCAGTCTTTTCCTTGACAGCACCGAGACCGGCGCCTTGTGGGCGCAGGTTGGCCTCGATGACAATGTTTCGACCCTGGCCCTCCTTTCCAAGACCTTTTCCTTCCTGATAACCCATCTTGGCCATCATTCTCGCCGCGAAAGAATTGGTATTGGTCTTGATCTTCCCACCTTTGCCCTTTGTGAACGCGCTCGCCGCAGGTACGCGTGGTTTCGCTGGTTCATCGTCGTCACGGTTTAGAAGACTTGGACCTCTCGCCGACATTGGCACAAACCCAGTTCCCAGAGGGTTGCTAGGATCTACTTTTGACTTGACGAATGGCATCGGCTTCAAGACGGCGCTTTTTAGAGGCTTCTGTTGTTGCGTTGGGGGGGTCCACCCGAGACCTTGGGCAGCGGCAGCGGCCTCACCACCACCACCAAAGCCCAGGCCGAAGCCTCCCATGTCCTCGTCTTCATCGTCTTCGTCTTCGTCTCCGTCGGCGGCGGTGGCAGTCGAGGTCATCATGGTAGGTTTTCCATCGTCATCCCACTCGGCGTACTCATCATCCTTATCGTCTTCCTTGTCCTCATCATCGTCTTCGTCGTCAACCGGGCCGGGCTTCACGTTGCTCGACGATACGAAGCTAACGCCCTTGTTGCGCAATGGCTTGTGTTTCCATTTTCGACTGGGCCCTTCATCTTCGCTTTCGGATCCGAAAATTCCAAGGGCGGCGCTCTCTTTTGCCTCGCGGCCGGTGCGCCTTCGTTTTCGGGGGTTGTGATCGGCGAATTCATCGTCGTGGGGGTTGGTCGAGGGTATCAAATATTCATCATCTTCAGCGTCGGACTCTGAGGAGGAATAATCGGCGGCCGTGGCCTTTGTGAATGTTGTTGGATCAAAGGGCATCTTGCCGTTATCTTGGATGAGGAGGTGTAAAAAAAAAATTAAAAAAAAAAAGGAAAGGAAGCGCAACAATTCTTGTCTTGTGTTGTAGTCGGTGTTCGTTGCGCGCTGGAGCATGGAGGACCGAGGACGCAAGTGGCCTGTGGCGTCAGAACTTTTGGCGCAGTTGGCTGTTCCCTGCTGGGGAGTGTGGCGCGCACTGTGTTTGTCTGGGCTCCTTATCTTATCAGCCCACTGATGCCTGCTGAGCCCCACCGAGAGGGCACTGGAAAGCTTGTCCCGACCTCCACAATCATCATCATCATCACTGTCATATCCGGTGAAGCAAATCATTATTTATTTGTATGCAATTTAATCGAGGTTGCCTCGCGTTCTATGTTATGCTATTGAGCTGGGTATCTAGTATCTTCTTTTCGACGCTCCTCGTCCTCCATCGTCCTCCGTCGTCCTCCGTCGTCCTCCGTCGTCCTCCGTCGTCCTCCGTCATTCTCCGTCGCTTGATGATTGCTCGGCTCTCGCTGTCTACTGCCATTCCGACTCATTCCAGTCATGTCTCATTTAACCCGAACGCCAAGATGATCGTTTTTCCCCAATGCCGCCTGTTGCGCCCAAGAAATACATGTACAGAAAGAAACACAGAAAACTACCACCACGCATCAGCAAGCGATGGCGCTGACATTGACCACCACCCGTTGCTTCTTTGGTGCGCTGGAAGACACCATCTGGACCCCTGTCTTCTTGCGCAACCGCAGCTCCAAGAAGTGCTCAACAACATTGATCACCTGGTCCTCGTAGCTGGCAAACTTGAAGCCGAACGTCTCCTCGGTTAGACTTGCGTCGATGGGAAGAGGCGTTGTCTTGACGCTGCCACCCGTCACCAGCAGCTTTGTCTTGATGGCCTCGGGAAACTCCCGCTTGGCGATGGCGATGGCATCGTTCCACCGCGCCGACTGACTGAGAATGTAGCTCTGGTTTCCGAGAACCGTCGGGTCCAGTGCCGACACGTGCGCCCGAGCCACATCAGAGGCATGCACTGTCGCGCCCGCATACGGCCCAAACCGCTTGCCCAGCAGCAGCGCCAGTACCACCGAGTTGGTGCCCTGCATGGCTTGTCCTGCTGTGGTAGCCGTGTCGTTGCGCCCCAACACGAAGCCTGGGTGAAGGTGCACGACATCGAACGGCGGCCTCTCACGCTCCATCCACGCCTCGACATGGTGCAGCGCTGCAACCTTGGATGCCGCATAGGCCGCAAACTCGGATTCGTACGGTCCAGGGGCAAACGGGATGCGGTCATTGGGAGACACAGGCTTGGAAGGGTCTCGCTTCCGTCTGCCCGTCAGCTCGTCCATGGGAACCAAGGCAATGAAGGAGCTGGTGATCACGACACGACGGACCGTCCCACCGAGGTTGGCTGCTTCTAGGAGGCTGATGGTACCACGCACAGCTGGCTGGATGAAATGCGCATCGTGTTGACTGAGCGGTACGCCGTTACCACCTGATGCCAGTGGCGAAGCAATGTGGATGATGTGTGTTGCGCCCTCGACAGCGTTGTCGTAAGCACCGGGGACCGTGATATCGGGCACAATGATGAAGGAGAGTCGGTATCCTGGGTTGAGTGCCTGGATTTGTGGTCTTGCAAGAACAGCAGCAGCTTTGGCATGGGATCGAACGGCGGCCCGGACCCGGTATCCCTCTCGAAGCAGTTGCACCAGAGTCCACGACCCTACATGGCCCGTGGCCCCTGTTATCAATACCAAATCTTTTGGCGAAACCATATTGTATGTGTATGTGTGTGTGTTGGTGAGTTGGTTGGTATTTGTTGGAATGATGGCTGATAGATGGAAGGATCTGGGAGGTATCAGATCAGACAACGAGGGTGTCCGTCGGCGGCATATATACAACAGCAACACCCCCTCCCCCCCCCCCCTGACGGGGCGTGCCAAGACGATTGGGTACCCTTTCGGAGACAAGGCAGAGAGACCTGGTGTCTCGTTCCAAAGGGCGCGGCTCTCTGGCACCGCCTGTATTGCTGTGGCCAGACCCGCCAACCATGGTACTCAGCTGAGCGCTAGTGGGCGCCAACGGGACAGCCGGCCAGTGGCGTGGCGTGAAATCTCAGTCGACCGCATACTAACATGCGCACCTCAGGAACTTGTGATGATGGAGTCTAGACTCCAGCTGCTCGCCGAGTTTGACGCCTCTTCACTCGTGTCGAGTTGTCATTGTCGCTTCTCCGTCCGTCCGCAACACATCAAGAGGCTAGGAACATCGCTGACGGATCATCGCCCTCTCCTGGGACTGGCCTGCGAGCTAAACCGTCTCATGCCGTCACCGCCCATGCTGGTGGCTCCTCGCATAATCTGGGACGATGTGGCTTGCCAGCCACGCAAGCTTGACATGTGAGCGCTTCATGTCTGAGGGGGAGGGTCGTTTATCGGAGTCTGCCGCTCCGACATCCGACCTGCAAGACATTTTGGTCCCAGCCTGAGACCTCACGCGGGGTGTCAGCTTCTGGTCCCAAGACAGCCATGAGAAATATCTACGCTTCGGCCGAGAGGTGACGCAGTTGTCGCAAATCGGTTCTAGGGAGTGAGTGGCCTCGTGGCGTTGGCGTTTGGGTATCTGCATGCTTGGATGAACCACAGCCCCTGTCTTGGAAGCAGCATCTTGACTACGCAAGCCCTCCGATGACTGTTTTGATCCCACAAGAGACCTCCACAGACTTTGCATCAGAGACAGGCGCGGCACCGCAGGCAAGCCCGGGCGCGAGATGTCTCCCCCGGCACCGGCTTCAGACGGCACTTGCTGACACCCACTGTCCACTGTTACACGACCTGCATCCTTCCCAATTTGACAACGGTACGTATGCGGGGGGGTAACAAGACGGGACTTTTGACGCACAGGGGTTGTCCCCCGACTGACAAGGACCACCCCCAGCTCCAAGCACACGCGCGTAAATGGAAAATGTCCGACATGAACGACATCTCTTCTGGCACCACTTTGCAGCCGCCAGATCTTGTCCACCCCGACTAAAGGCTCGGTCGGTTATTTCCTCCTCCTTCGCCTCCGAATCGTGCTCTGTTTACGACTCGCAAATTCCCTTCCACACTCTGTTCGTCTTTGCCGGGAGAAATTCTAACCGCCAAAATCACATCATTCATGACTGTCCCATTCCACCTGCTCGGGACCGAGGGGGGGCACACCCCGTTCACATCCCACTCCGCTCCGTCATCGCCATCACGGCAATAGCTGTTGTACTAGACACCCCGATCCTCCTCTCCGAGACCAAGCCGCTTCAACGTTTTTTTGCACCATCGCCCTACCGTCCAGTCCTAACCCAAAGCTGTTAAAATCTCCGCCCCCGTCAGCTCCGGTGTTAGGGTGATTGGCAGTTGGTCGCGGTCTCACAAAGATCGAGCGAGCCAGTTTGCGCTGCTTGGCGGTTATGCTGTTTTGATCGTCAGGGGGGACAGACGTCATCTGCATCAAACAGCCTCTGAACGGGTGGGCTTGCAGGGTGGCGCGACGCCAGTGGCGGTTGAGGCGTTACCGTTGACGGCCGTAAGGCAATCAATCTGCTCTGGGGGCAGGTTGTGTGTTGAGATGGCGTGTGGGATTGATTGAAGAATATCAAGGACGGTTGTTCAAGGTCTTCAAGTCGGTGTACGGTTGCTCGCGCCTGGCTAGAATGGGTTCCGGACAGGGCAAGCGGACGGGCCGACTGATGACGGCATCGCCGCCGAAATCACCATGTCTTTTGTTGCTTGCTGGCGTACTCGGAGAGAATGAGGCCATGGAGTGATATCATGCGAGCCCAGCTGGCTCACAGTGGACCTGCTATCAAAGAGCACTCAGGATTGGCCATCTGTCATGCCCTACTAACAAGACCTCTGGCTTTCCATCATTTCACGTGCTCTTTCTTTTAACGTGCTTGCAACTCTGGTGTAATTGATACGAGTCCATAGGCAACCTGTCCTTCATGAATAATACACTCCAGGAAACTCCGTTCAGGTTAGAGTGAACCGATCAGTTCGACTGTCAATGTCGAGACTCTTGGTAGCGACTCGCTATCGCCACTAGCGAGCAAGACACCTTTCCAAGCGGAGCTGTAAAGGGGCATATCTTGTGGTACTTCAAACTTGCAGATCGCATCTTATGTGGCAGAGATTACCTTGAGGCCCATATAGCGATGTTAAGAAACTCAGGCCCAAGTCGCAGGGTCATGGTCTCGTCTATGGGTATGTCAGAGGCAACCTGAGATTCAACGCTGTGTGCGCCGTGGCTTCAGCCCCTTTTGATAGGTACCTACTCGAGCCACCACTGGTGGCAAACCCGCATGCTATGCAACGCCGCCCCTCCAGCACGACCCGTGCAGTGTATTCTCCTCACCCTTCAGAATATACAGCCCTTTCTAAGACACTTAAAATTAACTCTATTCGAGGACTGGCTTCTGATGTTGCTGACGGGGACACGTATCGTGGCAAAAGGCCCACAAAATGGGTTGTTGAAACTGCGCGGAAGAACTTTTGGATTTCCCGTCTTGGATCATATCAAGCCAGGACAACTGTTAACAGGTAAAAAGCCCCCTTTAGAGATATATGATGTCCATGAGGGACATCAACCAGCTAGAGAAGGCAACTCTGCTCAAAAAGTCTAGTTTTTCCACGTCAAAACTCGCCTCATTGGCTCCGCATTTCATCAGCAACACATATTCTCTGACCGAGCTGTCACACTTCCTCTCCCTACCTACCCTGCACTCACTACCTATTTACACGAATAAAGCCAAGTGGTTCATCCCTAAGTAGGTGAATCTAACAGGATCTATAAACGGGGTGCGTGTCTGGTTGGAATCCTGCAACTCCAAAACTGCACGTTGATAAGCCAGCCACGATCATTGGTTAGCTACCACCACAACTCCCCTCCATTTCATACCAACCTCTTGATTGTGAAGAAAAGGCCGTGCTGCAGCCAGCAACTAGTGCGCCATTTATAAACACATCAACCCCAGTTAATCCCTTCAACCCCTCGATGCCATTCCCTGGCGCCAATCGCGCCATATCAACCTTCCTCATTAGGATGGCGTAGTTTCAACGGGACAATAGTTGTGTAGAGCTTACTTCCAGGGGTAAGGCGTGACATGCATACGTAGGTATTCACCTTGGAGCTCGGCGCGGGCCGCCATTGATATTCTAAAGCCCATAACACTGGGATGCCGCACTGAATACACACATAAACACCCAGCCTCATCCTTCACCACCCACCCCCTCTCCCCTTTTTCTTTTCCAACTCTTCCCCTCGCCCTCCGCCTCCCCCTCGCCTTCCCAAACCAGCAAAATGCACCCTCTCACCCTCCTCCTTCCCCTTTCCCTCCCACTCATTCTCGCCCAACTCCCCTCTTCCCCCCGTTTCGACCTCACCAAACCCTCCTACGACCTCTTCCGCCACAAAACCCTCCACGACTCCACCGTCCAACAATCCTTCACCTTCGACAACCCCAACGCGCGCCTCTTCGTCTCCCAGCGCCGCAACGGCGCCGACTCCTCCCTCGGCAACCTCTGCATAACCCAGCTCGACTTTTCCGGCAACCAGGTAGGGTATATGCACCTGACTGGCTTCGGCCACGGCGTCTCCTTCGGCGCGCAAGCAGTCGGTACCTCCACCTACCTCTGGACAGAAGTTGACGCCAACTCCAACGGCTACGGCACCCGCCTAGCCCGTTTCAAATTCACCTCCGGAACCTCCCTCTCAGCCTCAAGTCCCACCCTCCAAAAATTCAAACCCATCCCAGCAGCAACCGAATTCACCTGCTCAATCGACCCAGTAAACAACCGTCTAATAGTGCGTTATTACCTCCCCGGATCAGGCAAGCACATGGCCGTCTACACCCTCGCCGCCGCCACAGCAGGCGACTTTTCGTCCCCCTTGGTAAACTTCAAAATCCCAACAATCACCACGCTCGGCGGCGCGTTTCAGGGGTACGCCGCGCATGGCAGGCACTTGTACCTCTTATGGGGCGACAGCTACGACGTCACAGGGGGCAGCGTCAACTCTCAAGTGGCAACTGTCGACATGAACACTGGGTTGCTGATGCAAGGACCGACGTTGACAAAGGCGGGAGAGAGTCTTGTTTTCAGGGAAGCAGAAGGCATGGCCGTCTATCGGACGGCAGCGGGCCAGACAAGATTATTTTTGGCGTCGCGAGCGGTGTTGCCATACGAAGCCGGGTGA